GTAATTCAATAAACATTTATTCAGCATAATTGCTAGAGAAGGACATCATGTTTGGTGAAGTAGAGCACCAACAAGGGCATGGGAGACCCTTGGTAAGATGGATTGGCACAATAGCCACAATTGAGCATGATGCTGATCATAAGGATTACGCAGGAATGAGCAACTTTTTGTTCTGTTGTACACAAAGTCACCGTGAGTCAGAGTCAACTTGATAGCAGCTAACAACAACAATGCACCCAACAGTGCTGTGCCCAGCACTATGGAACCTCTCTTTCTCTGTCTATTTATCTATCTACCTGGCATCTATATATTCTTACCATTCATAAAGCACCTACTGCATGTCAAGTATTGTGCTAAACCCTTTGCCTCACTTAATCCTCACCAGAGGTGGCCATTATTGTTTCCATTTTACAGAAGTTAAGTTACTTGCTCCAAGTCACCCAGCTATAAGATGGGAGAGCTGAGGGTTGAACCCAGGTCTGCCCATCTTTTTGCCATACCACCCTGTCTTCAGTAGATAATAGCCCTGCCCATGAAATGTTTCTCCAAGTACAAAGCCATGACCAAATGATGAGAGAACACTAGCTTCAGGATTCTCTTACAGCTTTTGTGAAAGGACTAAGGCTACCTGGACAAGGGAGTACAGGATGGCTTCTTAGAGGAGATGACATTAGAATTAGGAGAGAACACCATTCTGGAAAAAAAGAAACAGTAGGTGAAAAGGCACAGAGGCTCAAGGAGCTTGGGTGTCTTCTGAAAACAGCGAGAAGTTCAATGTGGCTGGAGTAGAGGGTGCATGAAGAAAGATCCTGAGCTTGCCTTCTCTTCCCAGAGGCATTTTCTGAAGAGGTCTGTAAGAGAGGCATGCCTTGACTGTCTGTTAACAGGCTGAGTGGTAGAGCAGCAAGACCATAAAACATAAGGTCAAGAAGCCAGGGATGGATTGATTCTAGGTTCTCTCAACATTCTGGATTGTGGAGTAGAAAAATAATAAGTTTTGGAATCAGCCAGATTAGGGTATGAGTCCCAGTTCTGCCACTTGCTGCCTATGTTTTCTTCAGGGCTCTCCATGGTGAAAGGTGAGAGAGGGAGGCAGCCCAGGGAAAGCAGCTGTATTCGTTTCCTCTTGCCACTGTAACAAATTACCATGAATTTAGTGGTTTAAAACAACACAGGTTTATCATCTTCTGGAGGGCAGAAGTCCACAATGGGCTTCACTGGGCTAAAATCAAGGACTGTGTACCCTCTGAACTCTCTGGGGGAAAATCCATTTCTTTGCCTTTTCCAGTTTCTAGAGGCCTCCCACATTCCTTGGCTCATGGCCTCTTCCTCCATCTTCAGAGCCAGTAGTACAGCATCTTCAAACCTCTCCCTGATTCTTCTGACTCTTCCATCTTTAAGAATCTTTGTGACTATACCGGGCCTACCTGGATAATCCAGGATAATCTCTTCATCACAAGGTCCTTTACTTAATCACAGCTGTAAAGATCCCTTTTGCCACGTAAGGTAACAATCAGGGATTAGCATGTGGACATCTTTGGGGACTGTTATTCTGCAAACCACAGCAGCCATGTGGTCAGTGGCTGCACTTATCAAGTCTGTCCAACACTTCCATTCTTCTCCAGGGTATCACAGATAATGTATAGAAACATGTCCACCAGGGGGCTCCCCCTACCACAAAAGCAGTGGTTGGTAGTTTGGGGAGGAGCCTGGTTCTGTCTGGGGGAGCCTCACTGGTCTTACCTCTGTGGGATGGTCTGGGTTCTCTTTAGCTACCAGTTTTTGTTAGACGTCAGCCCTACCCCAGCTCAGCTGAGTGTTCACATACGTGGAGCTGCACTTGTCCACACAGCTCTCCAAGGATAACCTTGAACTCAGTGCTGCACAGCACTTGTCAACTCTTGGTTGGGAGAAATGCTTTTCAGGGAGACTCCACCACCCAAGAGACTCACATTCCAACCATTCCTTTAAACTCTGTCCCTAGACTAAGTCAGAGCACATTCTTTTGCTTTACTTTGATACTATTAGACTACATTAAGCTCACCCTAAGGAAAAGCTTCATGAAAATAATTGCATGTACTGTAACGGTTTTGTTGAGAATGTTCATTACATTTCAGCATATATTACTTAAGAGAAACCACAGAGAAATAATCCTCTGGTCTCTAAACATAATGCTAGTTATGGTTTTCCCAAGTAACTGGTTTGTTTCTATCAAATGCACACTAGCTCACATGGCTGATCATTTTTCCCAATTTGTACTCACCGTTAGGAAGCTCAGAGCCAAAATCGTTGTCTAGCAAAGCTCTAGGACCCCATAGCCTGCATTATGTGCATCAGCTTATTTTCCTGTCCTTACTGTCCCTTTTCACCAGTTCCTTCACCTGTTTTACATTTTTTCTTTTGGTTCTAGTGCATGTATCTCAAATCCCAGCATAAGACAGCTGCAAACTTTGGTGTTTCCATATTTCTTCTCTTTGGTGAGACACACACCCTTGATACAGTCCTCTTTGTTCCAGGAACAAACTCAAGTGAAAAAAAAAATACAAAAAATGAACTGAAACATCATCAATGTCGATGTTTAAACAGTGACTCTGGGCAGAACTGAGTCCAGCACCATTGTAAAGAGTGGAGCTTACGTCGATGATAAGAAAATAAGTCTCTAATGCTTTGTATTCTAAGCACGCTAAGATCATAAATGCCAGCATTCTAAATGGCTTGCTTGCTGTTAGCAGATTCACTGGAAGTGAAATCCATTTTTTTTTCCCTAAGGGATGCTTAGCTTTTAATATATCTTCACTCATGGTCAAAAGACATTACCAAATTTACTAAAGTGATTGAAGATATTCCTCTTAAGGCATTTCTAACATTTCCTATCTTTGCCTTCACTCTTTTGTAAGTGAGCTTGTCTTCTCAGAAAGGAAAAACAGAAATGTGCTTCACACTCAATAGGGTTTGGATAGTCGCAGAAATCCAAGATAAAAAAACAAAACTCAGTGTGAGAAAAATCTCCAATGAAAACGTCTTTGAGATATACCCAACCATCGAACCACAGAATCACCAACTCTGAGAATCTTTCAAACCCTACTAGATGGTATGTCAAAACCTTCTCTTATTAATCTCTATATCCATAGAGTCCAGAATATGGTATATGTTCAATAAATATTTATTGAGTTAAATAAACAATAACCAGTTACCAGTTTCCACTGAGTCGATTGTAATCCATGGCAACCCCATGTGTGTCAGAGTAGAACTATGGTCCATAGGGTTTTCAATGGATGATTTTTTAGAAGTAGATCTCCAGGCCTTTTTTCCAAGGTACCTCTGATTGGATTTGAACTTCCAGCCTTCCAGTTAGCAGCCAAGTGCTTAACCATTTGTGCCACTCAGGGACTCCTAATGAACAATACTTCCCACTATCTACTCAAGCCCCAGTAGACCACGACTGGCACAAAGTGCTTGCCATGTGTCAGTCATGTAATACATACTGAAAGACTGGCTCTGAGACTCATCAACCCCACAGAAGCCATTTCTGCCATCCCCGAACTCCAGAGCAACAATTTTTAATGCCATTGTTTTCCTCCCTGGCAACGACACTCCTGATAGATGATATTCCCTGTATGCAACCACTATCATGGGCGTACTTGGGTTTATGTGTAATTCCCAGTGTGCTAGGACAGTCTCCAACCACCTATCTTTCACTCAAGAAAATACACAGGAACACAAATGAATAAGAGTGTCATTAATACAGGAACATTCCTGAATCCTCTGCAATTTATTGAAAAAGTAAATCATTCACCACTTTGGTTCTTCAAATATTATTAGGAGCGCAGGACTTGTGAGGTATCTTAGACGGATAGTCACAACAGTCCATCAAGTTTGTCGGCTGCAAGGTGGTTTTGAAAGAGTGGAGGAAGGCTGTGCATCATTTTTCTACTGTAACTAGATGTACTGATGATGCCTAGTTCTCTTGTCACCACCTTAACGACATCCAGAATTTCAGGGAGGGAAATTTTTTTACTATTATTGTACTTTAGATGAAGGTTTACAGAACAAACTCGCTTCTCATTAAACAGTTAGTACCCATATTGTTTTGTGACATTGGTTGCTAACCCCACAACATATCAACACTCTCCCCTTTTCGACCTTGGGTTCCCTATTCCGAGCTTTCCCGTCCCCTCCTGCCTTCTTGTCCTTGCGCCTGGGCTCGTGTGCCCCTTTAGTCTCGTTTTGTTTTATAGGTCCGTCTGATCTTTGGCTAAAGGGTGAACCTCAGTAGTGACTTCAGTACTGAGCTAAAAGGGTGTCCGGGGACCATACTCTCAGGGTTTCTCCAGTCTGTATCAGACCAGTGAGTCTGGTCTTTTCTGTGTGTGTGTGAGTTAGAATTTTGTTCTACATTTTTCTCCAGCTCCCTCTGGGACCATCTATTGTGATCCCTGTCAGAGCAGTCGGTGATGGTAGCTGGGCACCATCTAGTTGTGCTGGACTCAGTCTGGTGGAGGCTGTGGTAGTTGTGGTCCGTTAGTCCTTTGGACTAATCTTTCCCTTGTGTTTTTGGTTTTATTCATTCTCAGGGTGGGAAACTGATTGGGCCTTCAACCAACTTCTCTGGTTCATGTTCATTAACTCAACAAATATTATTGAACATATACCACGTTCTGGACTCTGTGGATATAGAGATTAATAAGAGAAGGTTCTGACGCATCAAGACTAAGAACGCTTCTCAATAGAAACCATCTCAGAGACCCACTGAGTCCTCACATGCCATCTTGGAGACCTTCCCAAACTCTGGAGAAACTATCTCTGAGACTCACTAACGCCAACTCAGTCATCTCTGTGTGCTCTGCCAAAGGTGTATACTCCACCAGGATCACAGAAAGATCACCCTTACTATTGGACATAGCTCACATACAAATTGTATTATCCATTGGTGTTGCTCCACACCCAGTGGGGTTTCCACCTTCACAACCACAAAGAAGAGTCACAAGCAGCCAACTTACCACACCACCACCAGCCGAGTGCACGAGCACAGACATCCCTTCCTGGAGGTTGGCCACTTCAAAGAGCATCATGTAGGCTGTGACGAAGTTCATGGGGAATGCAGCAGCCTCAGAGAAGCTCATGTCATCTGGTATCTTATAGACGAACTCCACTGGTGTGCAGACCACCTCTGCCCAGGCATTGTAATTGACAAAGGCCATGACATGATCACCAATCTGGGCATAGAAAAGCACAGGGTTAGTGAACACTACTAGCTCATGACAGAGGTTCACAGAGGGACTAAAAGATCAGGAACTGTTCATGTTACAGGAAACCCTGGTAGTGTAGTGGTTAAGTGCTACAGCTACTAACCAAAAGGTTGGCAGTTTGAATCCACCAGGCACTCCTTGGAAACTCTATGGGGCAGTTCTATCCTGTTCTATAGGGTTGCTATGAGTTGGAATTGACTCGATGGCAATGGGTTTGTTTTTTTTTTTTTTTTAGTCCATGTTACAAAACATCATTGTTTCTCCTAATACAGAGGCTGATGACCGATATCCAAATTCCTCACTATTTTACAGATTTTTAAAAAAAAAATCTTGGTGAAATAAATGATATTTTTACACATTTGCAGCAAAAAAAAAAAAAAAAAAAACTGCTACTGAAGTTTCACAAGTTTACAAGTGATGTCATGAACTGTTGACACCTCTATATTTCCTGCCCATCCATCTTTATCATGATTCCTTCCTTCCCAGAACCAGGGAAGCTGGTTGAGGGCCCTTTCCCTCCCTAAAATTCTGGACATAATTAAGGTGGTGGCAAGAGGGCTGGGCATAGCAGTACATCTAATTAAGACAGAAAAATGGTGCACAGCTTTCTCTCCTCTTTCAAAACCACCTTTCATCTGGCCAACTCGTGTTCTTCCTTAAGGGCTTTTCTGGGATTTTAGTCCCCACAGTCTAGGATAAGGGACTTAGAGCCTGGCTGGAGAATGGATTTCTTCCTCACAAGAGATTTTTCTATACACACCATTTGATCACAACAGAAAAACTACCATGCACTGAAGACTAATAATGTACCAGGAAGAAAGGCCCAGTGACCTACTTCCAAAAATCTGCCAATGAAAACTCTATGGAGCACAACGGTCCAGTCTACAGCCCATCATGGAGATGGCTCAGGTTCACGCAGCTTTCGTTCCATTGTGCCCGGAGTCAGCATGAGTCAAGGACCGACTTGATGGCAGCTAACAACAAAAATAATGTACCAGACTCTGAAATCTGCATTTTATGTTGGTTATTCTATCTAAATGATAGCTGTAGGGGACAGGTATTGTCCCAGTTGAAGAAACTGAGGTAAGAAAGGTTAAGTCTCTTGCCTAAGGACAAACATCTAGTAAGTGGCAATCAGAAGCCAGGCTAAGTCCTGTCTGACTCCAAGTATCTTTCCACAATATCACAATGATCCCTGCCATGTATTTTTTTTCAGTCTCCCATACAAAAATTTATAGATGCATTGTTATGTGACCCCAATTGCTCTCCCCATACTGTGATAGCACACCCCTGCCATGTTTTTTTTTAATTGAACTCCTTCTTAGTCTTAGGTTCTAGGCACTGGATATATGTACTAGTGAATGAGGTACAGTTCATGCCTTCAAAATTTTCATACTGCCTGGAAATTTCATCTGACAATTACTATGAGTGCTAGGGCTTAGACTGAAGATCCATCTGGAAGGGGAAATTTTTAGTAGAGATTGAAGCCTTACACCAAAGTCATGAAGCTATAATGGAGATGTTGCATATATTTATCCAAAGATAATATAATTCCTTTTTTTTTTTTTTTTCAAAGTGAAGAGGGGAGGATGGGATCAAGAGATGTCAGAGCAGCCTAGAGATGAGGTCCCTAGAACCTGGGAGATTTGCCAGGTTGGCTGGCTCTGAGTTTTTTGGGCCAGAGCTGCCACAGCTTCAGTGTGTGGATGGCACAGTGTCTTCAGGGTCTTGATTGTCCATTTAGCCAGTGGGTGATGTGGTGGAAAGACAACGGACTGACCCTGGCTCCATTGAGACCTGGATAATGAGGAGTTCAGATGGAGGAGGCAGTTGGGGATAGAATTCAACACTGCTCTCAGTGAACAGGGGCACCTGTGCTCCATCCAGGGCATCTGCCAAGGAGGTGAGTTAGCCAAAGCAGCAAAGACACCTGAACCCACAGAATCAGATGGCTCTGCCCCAGTGTGTTTTCTGGGGCTCTCTTGCCAGAATCAGAAGCAACGCAGAGCCTGGTTTGCTCGCTCTGAGACAGAGGCAAGCAATTAATCAATGGTATCATCTGAGAGCTGGGCAAGGAGGACTTTCTGACTGCCTCCCCTTCCATCGCTTCTTTGTCCTTGGGAAGCTTGGCATGAACCAAAGCAGGGTTCCCCCTGCTTCAGCCCTCCCTGAGCCTACTGGGGAGGGAGAAATCCTTGCCTATATTTATCTGCATGGTTTTCTGCAGCTCCATTCCCACCTGCCTTCATCTGCCCCCTCTTCCAAGGCCCAAACGACCCTGGACTCCTCATATAAGTCCTCCACTTAGACTGTGGCACACATGGGGTTGACATGAGTCAGAGGTGATTCGACAGCAACTGGTAGTCTGACTCCAGACACAAATAATTAATTAATTACAGCTGGAGATCAGTGCTAGGAAGATGACGTTGTTGTAGCTGGGTGCCGTTGAGTCAATTTTGACTTATAGCGACCCACGTAACAAAGTAGAACTGCCCCATAGGATTTTTTTGGCTGTAATCTTTATGGAAGCAGATGGCCAGTTCTTTTACCCACAGAGCCACTGAGTTCAAATCATAAAGGTTATATAAGAGTTACAACAGAGAAAGCTACCAATTCTGGAGATATTAGTTTAACTCTTTAGGCCTCAGTTTCTCAGTTCTAAAATGGGGATAATATTAGTAAAAGTTCTTAGAAAGATTAAAAACCAATCACTGTTGAGTCAGCACTGACTCCTGGTGACCCTATGTATGTCAGAGTAGAACTGTGATCCATAGGGTTTTCAATGGCTGATTTTTCAGAAGTAGATCACCAGGCCTTTCTTCCAAGGTGCCTCTGGGTGGATTCAAACCTCAACTGAGCAAGTTAACCACTGCAACATCCAGAGAAGATTAAATGACATAATATGTATACAATGCACTTAGTGTGGTGCATGGAAAACAAGGAAACAATAAATGTTAGCTCTTAAAAAGAACAGATTGGTTCATGGCGTTCACAATCTATTGATCAAGCGCTATATACCAACTCACTAAATTTTATAAAGCAGAATAAATAACTGTCTAATGAAGAAAACTGATAGAAAGGAGGGACTGTCACACTGATGTTGAGTGTCCCAATCCCTGGAAGGGTTGAAGATCAAGTGGTGAATGTTGGGAATGTCATCGTAGAGGCAGAGGTTTAGACTAGAGGATAACTAAGGTCAAATACTGACATTCTCTTTTTCATAGAATTATGAAAACCCAAAGATGCAGACTCAAGACCACAGAGTAGCTGATGGCCTCCAGTGTCAACACAGAGTATAATGAAAAGAGTATTTCAGCCACCTGGATGGTGATGGCCACAGCCATCACAGCAGAGCTGACTGCTCCCAGGCCTCTCATTGAACTTGGCTTCATCATTTCGATTGCATTATCAAAATGGCAAAAGTGGCTAAGCCACTCACTCAGCGTCAGCCTGGGTCTGGAGGCAGGCACCTTTTATTTTTTTTCTTTCTTTTTTTAATATCCAATTCACCTCATTATTTGATTCTGCTAAGAAAAAGAAATTAATCCTGGGCGAGTGAGCACAAATTATTCCTTTACTACTATGCCTCTGGCAACAACTTTCCAAGCCTCCTTTGCAATAGATCAAACCAAGTGAACTACTCAGCATGCTGCTGCATGGAATTCCATCTCCAAAATGATTAAAAATCTTAAGTCAAAATTATAGAGAGGATATTGGTATTGGTTTTCTCCCAAGTCACACCCTGACTGGAAACTTGTAGGTGGCTTCTTTTATTTGTTTGTGCCGCTGAAAGTCATCGGAGGGGAGGAGGCTGAGGAGTGGCTTTGATAATAAGTAAGTCAGTGCTAGTAGCAGATATTAAATCATATTTAAGGGGAAATATACATAATCAAAGGAGCCCTTGTGGCACAATGGTTAAGTGCTGGGCTGCTAACTGAAAGGTTGGCAATTCCAACCCACCAGCTGTTCCTCGGGAGAAAGATGTGGCAGTCTACTTCCGTAAAGATTTACAGCCTCAGAAACCGTATGGGGCAGTTCTACTGTGTCCTATAGGGTTGCTATGAGTTGTATCGACTCAATGGCAATGGGATACATAATCAAAGGACAGATTATGGCTGCTAACCAAAAGGTTAAATATAAGAGAAAATAATATATAATCAAAGGATAATATATTATTATGTATTATACATATAATTATGTGTTATTCATAATGTATTATACATTTGTATTATAGTATACATTATTATGTATTGTCAATGTGTTATACAATTATGTGTTATACATACAGGTATTAAAAATATAATTATGTATTATAATTCATAATCAAATAAATACAGGAAAATACACATAATCAAAGGAGCCCTGGTGGCACAACGGTTAAGTGCTGGGCTGCATATGAAAGGTCATCAATTTGAACCTACCCAGCGGCTCCACGTGAGAAAGACCTGGCAATCTGCTTCCATAAAGATTACAACCAAGATTAAACCAACTCCAACAACAACACTGTCTACTATTCTACTCTAAAATAATGGGCTATTTAGTCAATGCTCAGAATTTCCTTTGGGCCATGTTGGGGAGTGAAGAGCACAGAGTATTTCTTATGAACAGCTTTCAGAGACAGAGACGGTGTTGCCTCTGGTTATATTGCTTACCTGGGGACAGAAAATGTAAAGTCATATGAAAGAAAAGAAAAAGCTCATTTTCTTCTTTCTCAACATTTTCGACTGTATTTTCTTGAAACCATTGACTAAAAGACTGATAAGTGGGATTAGATTTCTAATGTTCATCATAATGAATTTGGAGCCTACTGATATTTTCAAAGTATATTGAGGCCAGGTGCACTGAGACTTATCAGCAGGTGCAAGTTCAATTCCAAGAGCTTTTTGGCATTGTACTGTGTAGGATTCGTCTTCAGTTCTACTTTTCTTGATTTACTGTTGCAGCATTTAGGGGTTGGGAAACCAAAAAACCAAACCTGTTGCCATCGAGTCGATTCTAACTCATGGCAACCCCACGTGTTACAGAGTAGAACTGCCCCATAGGGTTTTCTTGGCAGTAATCATTACAGATGCAGACCACCAGGTCTTTCTTCCACGGCACTGCTGGGTGGGTTTGAACCGCCAACCTATAGGTTAGTGAAAAAAAAAAAAAAGCCCCAAACCAAACCAGTTGCTGTCGAGTTGGTTCTGACTCATAGCAACCCTACAGGACAGAGTAGAACTGCCCCATGGGGTCTCCAAGAAGCGGCTGGTGGATTCGAACTGCCGATCTTTTGTTTAGCAGTCGAACTCTTAACCATTGTGCTACCAGGGCTCCAGGTGAGTGCAAATCGTTTGTGCTACCCAGGGACCCTGGGGGTTGGGAGCAAAGGGTAAAGAGCATGGGGCTGTAGGAAAACTAAAAAGGCTCTGGTAATTTGAATCCAGGTTGTGATACTACTAACTACCCTTCTGACCTCACCGAAAATTACTGAACCCTTCTGAACCTCATCTGTAAAGTGATAATAACAATCTTTACCTTGTAGGGTTGTGGCAAGGCTGAAAAAAGATAACTTACCCATGTTTCTCGTTATGGTAGTTTATCAAATGTTAGTTCCCTTCATTCCTTCCTAGGGAAGAACTTAGTTATGAGCCAGAGCCTTTGCACCTAATTTGCATTGGTTTCTCTGACTCCAAACTACTGTAGCTTTGTGCCATTGATTTGCCCAGTTTTTCAGTTTTTATAGATCTAGTTCTAATTGATTTGCATTATAGTGGAAGGACCATACATCTTTCCATCTATTTTAAGTATTTTTTATTATGGAGAAATTTGAACATGTACAAAAGTAGTCAGAGTAATGTAATAAAACCCTATGTACTCATCGCCCTACCCTTTGAAGCCATTAATCTATGGCTGATTCTGCCCCACTGTCAGATAACTCTACCCATTGGCTTCAAGATCTTCTGCCTCCAAAAATGCCACTTCCCCAATGCCTGAAATAGTAATTTACAAATGATTCCTTAAATGTGTGAGTTAGGTAGATACTTAACAGAACAAAGTTATAAAATACAATGGCTATATCCCCCTTGACTTTGTGGTTTATAATTGATTCTTGAGCCTGAGGTAATGGAAAAATATGGAAGTTGTGGGTGGGGGGAAGGGGCATGCATATTTAGTTAATCCAAGCCCAAATACTCTTATTTAATTGCTGCATAATATGAATGAAGTGGGCAACAAGCTTTGTCCTGCCCATCTCACCAGACTGTTGTGAAGAGCAAACAAACCGTACTGAAGACAGGCGTTATGTGCATTGAAAGCCCTATCATTATAAACATTGTTAATAAAAACCAAATAAGACAACAGTAATAAGACATTTTGTAGACTGTTTCCAACATTTTTGCATAATCTGGTATTATCTCAGTGGGTTCCAGATAAATACTCTTTAAGTCAGAAGTCAAAAGATTACCTCGTATCCTTTCACGCTGTCTCCCAGAGCTTCAACAATCCCAGAACACTCAAATCCTGGCACCAGAGGCGTCTTGGGAGGGTTGTCAATATTCCCTTGTCGCACCATCAAGTCAATGAAGTTCAAACCACTGTGAACGACAAGTGTGAAAAAAGAGAAATTCAAGATGAGATCCAAAAGAGAGCGCGGACTTGGTTTTCTCTTCTTCCCTTCTCTCCTTCCTTTCTTGCTCCTTTTCTCCTTCCTTCCTCTCTCCCTCCCTTTCTTCCTTTTTTTCTGGCAAAGTGTACCTAATAAAAACCTCACTTGTATAGATGTCATCAGTATAGCAAAACTCAACTGTCCATTTGCAGAGAATAATTTTTTTTTTTTTTAGCAGTTAAAATATCAGTTACAGAGTTTACACTCTTAATTCAAAAGATAGCCCCTTTATCCTCCCTCATGGCCTATTTACTCTTCCTTTAAAAACACATACTGACCACTTGGTCATTAGACATTCTAGCCCTTAATTGAGGGTAAAAAATATATACTAGGAAGAGTTAAGCAGACACATGAAAAGCAGTCAGACACAATGGCCACCAGCCAATCTGTGAGAAAGAGGAAGAAAATCTAATTCAAAAGGTCTCAAAACAGCCAACTGTCACACCTCAGTCCTCACACAAACATATACCAGTACTGTCCATAAATGGCTCACATGATAGTGAATATGAACCATCAATTGATTACATTATGTCCAGCTGGGGGAGGAAAACTCAAAGAAGAAAAATGACCCAATGTATATGGAATACTAGAATGTTTATTTCAAAAACCAAAGACATTTTTGTTACTAGATGTTTTCTATGGACATATTATTTTTGAAATAAGAAAGTTATTAAAATATATCAAAGTCATTACCTTAGAAAACTATATACTTGATTCTAATGATGCTAACAATGCTCCAAACTGTTTTAATTATTTATTTTTTAGAACTCTTGGGAATAGCATTTAACATCCATTCACTAATCACATGATAAAACACATCCCACTGAACATCCATTTTTTTCCACCTGATGTGGTTCAAATGTACTTCCTTTTTCAATTAGCCACTGTCTAAGAATGGTTTGGAGTCCCTGGGTGGTACAAACAGTTAATCACTCAACTGCTAGCTGAGGGTTGGTGGTTCAAACCCACTCAGAGATGCCTGAGAAGACAGGCCTGGTGATCTGCTTCCGAAAGTTCACAGCCTTGAAAACAATATGGAGCACAGCTCTGTTCTGATATGAGTCAGAATTGACTTGATGGCACTAACAAGAAGAATGGTTTATATAAACCAAATTCCTCAGTCTGGCCCAATGCCCATTAGCATCTGGCCACAGCTACTTTCCAAGCAAGATGACATGAACCATTTCTTAAGCATACCTTGCCCATTCTTCCTTGGTCTCTTTTGAGCCAAGATAGTATCTAACTTCACCTGTATTCCCTGGTCTCTATTTATCAGACTGCTCCACAGAGGATAATAAACGCAAGAAGAATAGCTTCCTTAAAGGGTGGGTTTGAAAGTCACTACCCTCTCAAAGTTTTCCTGGCCACAAATCAGGCAATTTTACATATTGCCCCAGTTGGCGTATCTCTAAAATGTGTCCTCTCTGAAGGCAGCTGCATATCTCATACTTCTTTGCCTCTGGAGTGCCTGGCATGGCATCAGGCTCACAGCAACATAGGAGGCGCTGAAGTAACATACCCTGAAAGAAGGAATATTCATGAATATTCAGAAATACGTGCTGCCAGTGTGGATGCTACTTCCTAAAAAACGCCCAAGGAATGCTCAGAATAATGGATACATTTCTAAAATGTGTGTGTAGACTCCCAAGGGTCCTACTTTGATGGTTAATAGTTACTAGGGTCATTTATTAACCAAAATGCTCTCCAATAATGTGGTCATTTCTTAAGAGATTGGGGAGACCTAGACACAAATCCCAATTTCACCACTTCTAATGAGTGAACTCAAACATATCAACAATCAAGAAAATGGCACAGGACCAGTCAACATTTCATTCTGTTAGGCATGGGGTTACCATGAGTCTGAGCTAACTCGATGGCAACCAACAACGGCAACAACAAAAACCTATGTAACCTTGGACAAGTTATTGGATCTAAGCCTCAATTTCCCAATCTTTAAAATAGGGTCATGATACTGCCTAATCGTCAGGGTTGTTCTGAGAATTAAAAAGAGTGAAGCACTGAATCACGGTGCCAGATAAGTACTCAATAAATGGTAGCACTTTAAAATTGCATCTTGACTTCTGTTAAGAAGGCAGAGCGTGTGATGCATTTAAAAAAAAGTTAAAAAATCATTTTGGAGCCTAAATGGGAAAACTTCAGCTACCTCTAAGCTTTATGTCTATGAAATAGCTCATTTTCCAACACAACCAAGTAAATAAGGCATCATCATATATCAATAAAAAGAAATTCTACATCCCAAATCAAACACTCCTTCTCAGTCCATGCATATTTTTTTTAGCTTACTGTGTTTTCCTCCGTGTGGAAAATCTATGATTTCCCAAGGCCCTGATGGAGAAATGCCAGAAGAAATTATTTGACAGTTCTGCAAAAATGCCAACCCTGGGTGAGGGCTTCATCCTAGAGACTTATTACATTGCTTAGTAGGTCTGCCTTCAACCACCGTCCCACGTGAATTCAGCCTGATGACTACAAACTGAGAGCCGGCCACTTAAAATCCAGTGAGAAGGGCTAAAACTAATTTTACAAAATCCTGTCGCATCTGCGTCTTCAGCAAGGGAAACAATGTCCCTGTGACAATGTCAACCATCTCCAGGAAGGGACTATAAAGCAGGTATATCCAGGAGGATGGTGGTAGGGCAGTGTTTTTTATCTCAACACAAAGGCGAGGTGAGCAATTGTTAATGGAGTATTCTTACATGTTGTACCAGACCTCTACCATGGCACTTGTCCACCTGATTCCTCCTTATATGCATATAGTTGGCACTTACCAGTTGCCACTGAGTCCAACTCCAGCGACACTATGTGTGGCAGAGCAGAACTGTGCTCCACGGGGTTTTCTTTTTTCTATTGTACTTTAAATGAAGGTTTACAGAACAAACTAGTTCCTCATTAAACAGTACACATATTGTTTTATAACATTGATTAATAACCCCACGACATGTCAATACTCTCCCTTCTTGACCTTGGGTTCCCTATTACCAGCTTTCCTGTCCCCTCCTGCCTTCTAGTCCTTGTCCCTGGGCTGTTGTGCCCCTTTAATCTCGTTTTGTTTCATGGGCCTGTCTAATCTTTGGCTGAAGGGCGAACCTTGGGAGTGACTTCATTACTGAGATAAAAGGGTGTCCGGGGGCCATACTCTCGGGGTTTCTCCGGTCTCCTTTAGGCCAATAAATCTGGTCTTTTTTATGAGTTAGAATTTTGTTCTACATTTTTATCCAGCTCTGTCCAGGACCCTCTATTGTGATCCCAGTCAGAGCAGTCAGCGGTGGTAGCTGGGCACCATCTAGTTGTACTGGACTCAGTCTCGTAGAGGCCCATGGTAGCTGTGGTCCATTAGTCCTTTGGACTAATCTTTCCCTTGTATCTTGTTTTCTTCATTCTCCTTTGCTCCCGAAGGGGTGAGACCAGTGGAGTGTCTTAGATGGCCACTCACAGGCTTTTAAAACCCAAGATGCTACTCATCAAAGTAGAATGTAGAACATTTTCTTTATAAACTATGTTATGCTAACTGAGCTAGATGTTCGCCGAGATCATGGTCCCCACAGCCCTCAGCCCAGTAATTCGGTCCCTCAGGGAATTTAGATGTGTCTATGGAACTTCCATGACCTTGCCTTGTACAAGTTGTGCTGGCTTCCCCAGTGTTGTGTACTGTCTTACCCTTCACCAAAGTTACCACTTATCTATTGTCTATTTAGTGTTTTTCCATCCCCACCCCTTACCTTCCTCATAATCATCAAAGACTGCTTTTTGTGTGTAAATGTTTTCATGAGTTCTTACAGCAGTGGACTCATATAATATTTGTCCTTTTGTGATTGACTTATTTCACTCAGCATAATGCCCTCTAGATTCATGCATGTTATGAGATGCTTCACAGATTCATCATTGTTCTTTATGGTTGTGTAATACTCCATTGTGTGTATGTACCATGGTTTGTTTATCCATTCATCTGTTGATGGGCATCTAGGTTGTTTCCATCTTTTTGCTATTATGAACAATGCTGCAATGAACATGGATATGCATGTGTCTATTCGTGTAACGACTCATTTCTTTAGGATATATTCATAGAAGTGGGATTGCTGGATCATATGGTATTTCTATTTCTAGCTTTCTAAGGAAGCCCCGTATCATTTTCCAAAATTATTTTATCATTTTGCATTTCCACCAGCAGTGTATAAGAGTTCCAATCTCCCCACAGCCTCTCCAGCATAATTTCCTGTCTTTTTGATTTGTGCCAGTAATGCCGGGGTGAGATGGTATCTCATTGTGGTTTTGATTTGCATTTCTCTAATGGCTAGTGATCGCAAACATTTCCTCATGTGTCTGTTGGCCACTTGAATGTCTTCTTTGGTGAAGTGTCTGTTCATTTATTTTGCCCATTTTTTAATTGGATTATTTGTATTTTTGTCTTAAAGGTGTTGGATTTTCTTGTAGATTTTAGAGATTAGACCTTTGTCTGATTTGTAATAGCCGAAATTTTTTTCCCAGTCTGTAGGTTCTCTTTTTACTTTTTTTTTGATTTTTTTTTATTGTAATTTAGGTGAAAGTTTACAGAACAAATAGTTTCTCATTAAACAGTCAGTACCCATATTGTTTTATGACATTCGTTAACAACCCCATGACATGTCAACACTGTCTCTTCTCGACCTTGGAGGACCTTTTTTTCTTGGTGAAAATATACATAGCCAAAGATACACCATTTCAAAAATTTCTACATGTACAATTCAGTGACATTGATTATGTTCTTCTGGTTGTGCTGCTATTCTCACTTTAGATGAAGGTTTACAGAACAAAATAGTTTCTCATTAAACAGTACACATACTGACCTATGACAATGGTTAACAACCCCACTACATGTCAACACTGTCCTTAGTCAACCTTGGGTCCTCTATCACCAGCTTTCCTGTCCCC